CAACCGGCAGCAGCTACTCCAGGCGAGCCCAGCCACGGGACTGCCCTTCTAGCAACGTGTGTTTTGCTGAAAGAATCCGTTCCGTGACTTTCCTTTGGGAATTTTGCATCTTCTATTTTTTCCCATTCAAAACACGGGCCTATTTTCCATTCTCCCTCCCGTAGAGGCAGCAGATGGAAATTCTGACAATTGACAGAGAGTCTCTGAGCCCTGCAGATTCCTTTCCCCGTGGAGGGGAGAGCCTTCTCTTTATTCAAGGGCTGCCGGGCCTTTACGTCTTCCCATCTCCTCCATTCGGGTCTGTGCAACAAACTCCTGAGAACCTCCATTGAGAAGGAATCAGATTCGGCTTAGGCACATCCTCCCCCTCCAGAGCCATTCATTCAGCCGGTTTTTCCAGCACCTCAAAAACAGCAGACATTCTGTTGCTCATTTCTGATTTCTGCTTTCCTCCAGAGCTGCACATTGAAACATGTATTTTCCCCCCCTCCCTTCCTGCTAATAACGAATTGGGGGTTGTCTGCCCACCGTGGCAAGATACAAACCAAAGCACTGTAGAGAAATAAGAAGAATCGGCCTGTTCGGCCCAATCTCGAGGAATGCAGAAGGACCAAGCCTCTTTAAACGTTTGCAAAGAGGGATGGACGGGTATCAGGCTGAATCTGCCAGCCACATGCTGATTAAGCAAAGAAAAATGAAATGAGAAGGAGGTATGAACTGGCAAGCTTAGTGCAGACCCTGCATCCAGTAGGGGGTTGGACTTCCACCTGTTGTACCTTCCACCTGTTTCTAACCAGGGCAAGGGATGTGGACCTGGTGGCCTCCCGTCCTCTTTTTAGCCTCTTTCCATACAACAAGAATGTAAAGCAAGAATGATACTGGCCTACCTTTCAGGGTTGTTGTTATGACATTCGAGAGATTGTTCTAATTTATCCGCTATAGCTTTCAGCTTTGATCGCTTGATATGGCCTCCATTTTCAGAGGTACTGTTCAGTAACACATGCTAGGGACTAGTAACTTGGTTGTTCCCTCAATTGTATGCCTGTGTTCTATTTTCCAGAAGAATCCGAATCAGCTGAGGTGTATGTATGCTGATAGTTGTTGCCCCCTTTAACCTGGTTCAAAAGATTGCTGGATGGCCCCATGGTATGCTCTCTCTCTGGGAATATCTATTTCAATCGAATAATTAGTCTGTCACATATTGATATCCAGATTTGCCTGTCTTTAAAACTAAAGCTTCTGTAGCAGGTGGCACCCAGGCAACCTTGACTGATCTTGCGGCCAAAATGAATCGGATGGAGTTAACATTTGGATGGGAGACCACCAGGAACTCCAAAGGTACTTATTATGCTTGGAAGTTTTGAAAAAAAAGGTGATGATAATCTGGAAGAAAGGAATGGAAAACCATGTTCATGTGTCTGCCTGTACCTGCAATAACAAAAAAACCTATTTATTTGTTTATCAACAGTGCTTACAACTTGCCCCAGACCCCAAGGGCTCCATGCCAATGGCATCACTATAAAATCACCGTTTAGCTGATCTTTCTGAGCATCCCAGTCCCAGCGCAGCCTGGGTCTGCCCCTCCGGGCGGTGCTCGTCAGCGGCACAAAACCCGCTGGTGGCGCTGCAAACCCCCCGCCCGATCAGTAGACGGCGGCCCAGAGAGACCGAACCTCTTCATCGCCCTCTGCTGGTCGAGCCGATCTTTGCAGATGGAGGAAAATAAAAATAAAATAAAATAAAATAAAACCACAACCCGAAGACGCTCCGGAATCTAGCCTTTGGCATTTCATCGTATTTAGGAAATCCCAGCCGCCCCGGATTTGCTGGGTTTGGATCCAGCTCGCTCTGTTTTCACGGGCAACGGCAACATGCCTCGGAACCCCCTCGCTCGCAGCCCTTCCTGGAAATCGGAGATTTAATGCAACCACAACAACAATGGCCATTTTAAAATTCGCTTTACATAACCCTACCTCGCCCTCCCCTCATTTAAATTCAGTCCGGGGCTTGTCCAATAAGAAACGGTTCATCATCTTTGAATGGCACACGCCCCCGTGCCGCTCCCTCTCCCCCCACCTCGCCTCTAGCTGTTGTATGAAATTGTGGTCACGTGGCCCCCCTCCGCGTTCTGAAGTGGGTGGGTCCCTGTTCATTCATAAATCCTCTGCCCCTTTTAAATCAAAATTAAGGTGTTAAAGAGAGAGGGAAGGGGGACTTTCCGCCCCAATACATAAAAATTGCAACCTCCGCCGCTTCTCTTTTTATCGTAGAGGAATCCATGAACTCGTATTAGGTGAGTCATTTTATTCCCTCCCTTCCCTTTCCTGTATCTTGTC